GGAGGTGGTGGTGGTGGTGATGGAGGTGGTGGAGGTGGTGGTGGTGAGGGTGGTGAGGGTGGTGGTGGTGATGGTGGTGCTGGTGGTGAGGGTGGTGAGGGTGGTGAGGGTGGTGGTGGTGATGGTGGTGCTGGTGGTGCTGGTGGTGAGGGTGGTGGTGGTGCTGGTGGTGAGGGTGATGGTGGTGCTGGTGGTGCTGGTGGTGAGGGTGGTGGTGGGGGTGGTGGTGATGGTGGTGCTGGTGGTGGTGATGGTGGTGCTGGTGGTGAGGGTGGTGGTGGTGCTGGTGGTGAGGGTGGTGGTGGTGGAGGTGGTGGTGGTGGAGGTGGTGGTGGAGGTGGTGGTGGTGGAGGTGGTGGAGGTGGTGGTGGAGGTGGTGGTGGTGGTGGTGGCCAGCCACCCACCGCATCTGCTGCTGCACTTGCCCCTACAGCACCGCTAGAGGCTACCTGGGGGACCTTTTGCGCGAGGAACCGTTGTGAGCTGCGCCGAGCTTAGACTGTGATGTCGGGACCTCTACTTGACCTTGAAAATAAAAGTCCCCCCAGAGACGGTGAATCTTAATGGAGGTTGCCTCTCTCTTTGACCTTGAAAATAAAAGTCCACCTAGAGACGTTGAATCTCAATGGGGATGTCTCTCACTTTGACCTTGAAAATAAAAGTCCCCCCAGAGACGTTGAATCTCAATGGTGGGGTGCCTCTCTTTGACCTTGAAAATAAAAGTCCCCCTAGAGACGTTGAATCTCAATGGGGGTTGCCTATCACTTTGACCTTGGAAATAAAAGTCCCCCCAGAGACGTATCTGAATGGAGGGTGCCTGTTACTTTGACCTTGAAAATAAAAGTCCCCCTAGAGACGTTGAATCTCAATGGTGGGGTGCCTCTCACTTTGACCTTGGGAATAAAAGTCCCCCTAGAGACGTTGAATCTCAATGGGGGTTGCCTCTCTACTTGACCTTGAACATAAAAGTCCCCCTAGAGACGTTGAATCTCAATGGGGGTTGCCCCTCACTTTGACCTTGGAAATAAAAGTCCCCCCAGAGACGTTGAATCTCAATGGGGATTGCCTCTCACTTTGACCTTGGGAATAAAAGTCCCCCTAGAGACGTTGAATCTCAATGGGGGGGTGCCTGTCACTTTGACCTTGAAAATAAAAGTCCCCCCAGAGACGTTGAATCTCAATGGTGGGGTGCCTCTCTTTGACCTTGAAAATAAAAGTCCCCCTAGAGACGTTGAATCTCAATGGGGGTTGCCTATCACTTTGACCTTGGAAATAAAAGTCCCCCCAGAGACGTATCTGAATGGAGGGTGCCTGTTACTTTGACCTTGAAAATAAAAGTCCCCCTAGAGACGTTGAATCTCAATGGTGGGGTGCCTCTCACTTTGACCTTGGGAATAAAAGTCCCCCTAGAGACGTTGAATCTCAATGGGGGTTGCCTCTCTACTTGACCTTGAAAATAAAAGTCCCCCTAGAGACGTTGAATCTCAATGGGGGTTGCCCCTCACTTTGACCTTGGAAATAAAAGTCCCCCCAGAGACGTTGAATCTCAATGGGGATTGCCTCTCACTTTGACCTTGGGAATAAAAGTCCCCCTAGAGACGTTGAATCTCAATGGGGGGGTGCCTGTCACTTTGACCTTGAAAATAAAAGTCCCCCCAGAGACGTTGACTCTCAATGGGGGGTGCCTCTCACTTTGACCTTGAAAATAAAAGTCCCCCTAGAGACGTTGAATCTCAATGGGGGTTGCCTCTCACTTTGACCTTGGAAATAAAAGTCCCCCCAGAGACGTTGAATCTCAATGGGGATTGCCTCTCACTTTGACCTTGGGAATAAAAGTCCCCCTAGAGACGTTGAATCTCAATGGGGGGGTGCCTGTCACTTTGACCTTAAAAATAAAAGTCCCCCCAGAGACGTTGACTCTCAATGGGGGGTGCCTCTCACTTTGACCTTGAAAATAAAAGTCCCCCTAGAGACGTTGAATCTCAATGGGGGTTGCCCCTCACTTTGACCTTGGAAATAAAAGTCCCCCCAGAGACGTTGAATCTCAATGGGGATTGCCTCTCACTTTGACCTTGGGAATAAAAGTCCCCCTAGAGACGTTGAATCTCAATGGGGGGGTGCCTGTCACTTTGACCTTGAAAATAAAAGTCCCCCCAGAGACGTTGACTCTCAATGGGGGGTGCCTCTCACTTTGATCTTGAAAATAAAAGTCCCCCTAGAGACGTTGAATCTCAATGGGGGTTGCCTGTCACTTTGACCTTGGGAATAAAAGTCCCGCGTACATTGCACAACAACCGGCGTTCACCACTGAGTGGCGGTGACGTCACCACTGCACTTGTGCCAGGCTAGGTGCACTTGAGATCTACTCAAAATTACCGTGTGTAAGAAGGACCCCAGACAGAGCTACTGCTGTGTGTAGTAGTGGTGTGTGTGTGTAGTAGTGGTGTGTGTGTAGTAGTGGTGGTGGTGTGTGTGTAGTAGTGGTGGTGTGTGTGCAGTAGTAGTAGTGGTGGTGTGTAGTGGTGGTGGTGGTGTGTGTGTAGTAGTGGTGTGTGTAGTGGTGGTGGTGTGTGTGTAGTAGTGGGGGTGGTGTGTGTGTAGTAGTGGTGGTGGTGGTGGTGTGTGTGTAGTAGTGGTGGTGTGTGTGTAGTAGTGGTGGTGGTGGTGTGTAGTGGTGGTGTGTGTGTAGTAGTGGTTGTGTGTGTAGTGGTGGTGGTGTGTGTGTAGTAGTGGTGGTGGTGTGTAGTAGTGGTGGTGGTGTGTGTGTAGTAGTGGTGGTGGTGTGTGTGTAGTAGTGGTGTGTGTGTGTAGTAGTGGTGGTGGTGGTGTGTAGTGGTGGTGTGTGTGTAGTAGTGGTGGTGTGTGTGTAGTGGTGGTGGTGTGTGTGTAGTAGTGGTGGTGGTGGTGTGTAGTAGTGGTGGTGGTGTGTGTGTAGTAGTGGGGTGGTGGTGTGTAGTAGTGGTGGTGGTGGTGTGTGTGTAGTAGTGGTGGTGGTGTGTGTGTAGTAGTGGTGGTGGTGTGTGTGTAGTAGTGGTGGTGGTGTGTGTGTGTAGTAGTGGTGTGTGTGTAGTAGTGGTGGTGGTGTGTGTGTGTAGTAGTGGTGGTGGTGTGTGTAGTAGTGGTGGTGGTGTGTGTAGTAGTGGTGTGTGTGTAGTAGTGGTGGTGGTGGTGTGTGTGTAGTAGTGGTGGTGGTGGTGTGTGTAGTAGTGGTGGTGTGTGTAGTAGTAGTAGTGGTGGTGGTGTGTAGTAGTGGTGGTGGTGGTGTGTGTGTAGTGGTGGTGGTGGTGTGTGTGTAGTAGTGGTGGTGGTGTGTGTGTAGTAGTAGTGGTGGTGGTGTGTGTGTAGTAGTGGTGGTGGTGTGTGTGTAGTAGTGGTGGTGGTGTGTGTGTAGTAGTGGTGGTGGTGGTGTGTGTAGTAGTGGTGGTGGTGTGTGTGTGTAGTGGTGGTGTGTGTGTGTAGTAGTGGTGGTGGTGGTGTGTAGTAGTGGTGTGTGTGTGTGTAGTAGTAGTGGTGGTGGTGTGTGTGTAGTAGTGGTGGTGGTGTGTGTGTAGTAGTAGTGGTGGTGTGTGTGTAGTAGTGGTGGTGGTGTGTGTGTAGTAGTGGTGGTGGTGTGTGTGTAGTAGTGGTGGTGGTGTGTGTGTAGTAGTGGTGGTGGTGTGTGTGTAGTAGTGGTGGTGGTGTGTGTGTAGTAGTAGTGGTGGTGTGTGTGTGTAGTAGTAGTGGTGGTGGTGTCTTTGTTGAGACTCTGCGGTAATCTGGCCACCATCACACGCAGTGATCACAGCAGCCCACACCAAGCGCCTGATATCATCGCCACCACCACCACCACCGTGTGGACGTTCATAGCAGCGGCCACAAACTCTCCAGACGTTCAGGAGACGTCGATTCTGAACGTGAAGGGGAAAACCGCAGGAGTCAGTCGGATACAAAATCCACACAGCCGCCACCACGGAGAGAGAGAGAGGAGACGCAGACTCAACATATACAGCAGTAGCAGCAGGCATCGTCAGGGTCTGGGATCGAAGCCACGACCTCCTGTGTACCTGGCGAGGTAGTCAACATCTCTTAGCCACAGATAGACACAGACTCCACATATACAGCAGCAGTAGCAGCAGGCCTCGCCAGGGACTGGGATCGAAGCCACGACCTCCTGTGTACCAGGCGAGGTAGTCAACATCTCTTAGCCACAGATAGACGCAGACTCAACATATACCGCAGCAGTAGCCGCAGGCATCGCCAGGGTCTGGGATCGAAGCCACGACCTCCTGTAGACCAGGCGAGGTAGTCAACATCTCTCAGGGTAATCGAAGCCACGACCTCCTGTATACCAAGCGAGGTAGTCAACATCTCTTAGCGACAGAGAGAGACGCAGACTCCACATATACAGCAGCAGCAGGCATCGTCAGGGTCTGGGATCTAACCCACGACCTCCTGTATACCAGGCGAGGTAGTCAACATCTCTCAGGGTAATCGAAGCCACGACCTCCTGTAGACCAGGCGAGGTAGTCAACATCTCTTTGTCACAGAGAGAGACGCAGACTCCACATATACAGCAGCAGCAGCAGGCCTCGCCAGGGTCTGGGATCTAACCCACGACCTCCTGTGTACCAGGCGAGGTAGTCAACATCTCTTAGTCACAGAGAGAGAGAGACGCAGACTCCACATATACAGCAGCAGCAGCAGGCATCGTCAGGGTCTGGGATCGAAGCCACGACCTCCTGTAGACCGGGCGAGGTAGTCAACACCTCTTAGTCACAGAGAGAGACGCAGACTCCACATATACAGCAGTAGCAGCAGGCATCGTCGGGGTCACGGATCGAACCCACGACCTCCTGTAGACCGGGCGAGGTAGTCAACATCTCTTAGTCACACAGAGACGCAGACTCCACATATACAGCAGTAGCAGGCATCGTCAGGGTCTGGGATCTAACCCACGACCTCCTGTAGACCAAGCGAGGTAGTCAACATCTCTCAGGGTAATCGAAGCCACGACCTCCTGT